AAGTCCTTATTTGGCAGTTCCGTTGTAAATAATTTGACATAATAGGCTGTGGTGCGGGACGGCTGTGGTGTAGTGGTAGAGCAGCCAACTTGGGACCAGAAAGTCACATGTTCGACTCCCTGCCATGCCCACATGTCGTGGTGTCCTTGAGCAAGACGCCTAATCCCCGACTGCTCCACAGGTGCTTGCATAGCTGCCCGCTGCTCCACTTGGGTGTTTCTCATGTGTGATGGGTCAAATGCAGAGCGCAAATTTCATCATTGTATGGGAGCATGCATTGATGACATTCAAATGACATTGCATTTTTATTAAAATAGTTCAAAAAACATAATAAAAATGAACAGGTAGAAAAATATGAACCAAACAGAATAAAAACATATCTATGCAGCACCAGGATAGCCTAAATTCAACTTTTCTCCAAAATACACAACAACAGGTACACAACAAAATGCATTTAATAGATAAAAAGTGTACTTTGCATGAAGGTGCAGTGGAAGCATATTATAACATTAATAAAAAGTGAAAGCATGAGAAACAGTCTCATGTGGCACACTACTCCACACAACTAGGAGCTGCCTAAAGGATTTACTGTATATTTGTCATTCATTACTCCTCATGCAATTAAAGCTTTCCTTTTTTTTATTAAGCTACATGATATTTGGTTTTCGAGGTCTCCTAAGGGACTGTTTACTTTCATGATACTTTTTCCAACACAGAGGATTTTTAAAAAAAATCTTCTGCCATCCTGTTACATCCTCTGATGTAATGTTATTTACGTTGGTGGATGACTTGCATCCTTAAAAGATAAACATTTTTAAGCATGCTATTTCTTAACAAACCTGCTGGGCTCTTGCACGGGGATTTKCTTTTAATCTCATTGTAAATATGCATTCGGCTACTCAGAGACAGCCGAGCGTGCTCTCATGTCTTCGTCACGTAGGATGGATGGTGCGGAGGAGATGGTGTTGGTGTGGAGAGCAAGAAAAATCTATGAGACAAGATGCATCATATTCTTCAAACCCCAGTGATCAAATTCAAGCTCGTTTCACATTAATGCTAAAATACTGACTTTGTAGCACYCTATTATTATAACTCTATATTTTGACATCAGTCGTGTTTGTCTTGCCTGCTGCTGATTCAGACTCCTGATGAACCAGAGTTAGCTCGTATCAGTGAGCTAAAACCACCAGAACATACCCTCAAGGCAGAAGATTTGACACTCCAATGAGACTCTGGAGCTGCCTGTTCTGATCACTGCCAACAGGGGGAGATACGATGTTAGGATAAATCCATTTGAAGCTCCATGACTGGAGATAAGTAAAAAAAATTGTGAATGTATTGCCACAAACCATTTTAGATTTCTTTTAAAATTGTCAAATTAGTTGAAAAAYACACAGAACAAAACAGCGACAGGGCTGTGCGATAAGGCTGAAAAATGTATCACAACATAAGTGTTTCAAATTAATAATTATGGATTAGTTTTATTGTTTTACCTGTTTGCATAGCTGTAACAAAGTACAAATACTTCAAGTAGGAAAAATTAGTTGTCTGTACTTTACGTGAGTTAGTTTTCAGACGACTTTTTACTTCAGCTCACATTTTCACAATTATCTACACTTTCTACTCCTTACATTAAAAAAATAAAGAGTTGTTACTCCTATTACATGTTGACTTGTTTTCATTTCAGTTTGTTATTATAAAAAACAACAAAACACGCAAGCATGTCACGCAGCAGGACATATCAGACTTAACATGTATGAAGATGATCATGACAGAGATATTAGGTGTAGCTGTAACAGGTCGTTTAGTGAAATCCAAATGTTTCAATAACATTTTGTGTAACATTATAGTCATTATGGCATTTAGAAAAAAAATTAGGGGGAGGTCTCCCCCAAAACATCTTTTGGACATTCTAAAGGCTCACTTTTACTCCTTACTGTTACTTTTGATGCTTAAGTAAATGTCAGATACTATTTAACTTTTACGCAAGTATTATTCTTAGAGAAGACATGAACTTTTACCAAAGTACTTTTATGATAAAATACTTGTACTTTTATTCAAGTATCACCTCAAGGTACTTTATACAACACTGCCTATTTAAAACAAGTACAGGAGAAAAAAGGCTAGATAATACTGCCAAAAATATGACCTTTCCTCTCATCCTCACTTAGCTGGGCTGTGAGAGGTCGAGCCTTTCCCTTTGCCTACATCTCCCAGAATGCTGTGCAGTTCATAACGATCAATATTGCACATATTTTCAATTGATTATGTGTATATTGCAATATGTATTGTTACTGTTTTATTGCCCTAAGCAATAATAAACATTATTTGTAAGGAGGAATTACTTTGTGGGGCAAATAAATTCTTCCCTTTCAGACCAGCCATTCCTCTTTATGAATCTTTCTATTTTAATTGATTATATAGATTTTATTTAATTTTTATGGGGATTTATTGTACACCATTTTTATCTGGTGGTTTTAAATGTACTTCAGATAAATTTGATTTGATTTAGTTTATATAAGTACATAATTTTTTTCTTTAAGCGTCCCTACACTAAATAGAAAATACAGTAAGTTTGCCATTTTTCACAACATCTATGTAACCAGTCTTTTAAAAAAATAACATTGTGACCTTATCAACATAAATGTCATAACTCACTTCCTTAAGGCCTTTTTAAGTTCATTAAAATAAGCAGATCTTGGAGCACAATAAACTACTGTGTTGTTTTTGGCTTTTTATGTTCTTWGCTTTTAGATGTTTTTATTTTAGTTTTTAGATTTGAACTTTACATTTCTGTTT